AAGAGATGAGACAGGAAAATCACTCAACCTGGCTCTTCCCAGAGTCGGGCATCTTAAAGAAATGCCCAATTACGGGGTCCAATTACCGCAATAAATACAGAAATGAATCTAACTCTCGATGCCACAATCTCATTAACAAAGAATCCGAAGGGGTACTCAGCCCCTCACAGAGCCAGCCGTCTTCCTTCCAGCTCAGCAGTAAGAGTTCCTTAGGATGAAGACATGGGCCATGAGTCAAGCAAGGGATGGAAGCTGGCACCATCCCCACCCCTGCGCCTCCCCCACTGGAAGCTACCTGCTGGACCCCACTGATGGGGGCTAAGGGGGTGATGGAAGCAACTCACTAAGACATATTAAAGAATTAATTACAAAGTAAAGCTGAAGGAGAAAATTAATTTTAGAAACACAAGAGGTTACAGTTTTGCTTTTTTTTTCCCCAGGAGATGGGGGAGGAAACAGTGATTTTCGTTTGCATCCTGGGGGCACAAGCTGGGAGCTGTCCAGTCGATAACCTGGCCATCAGAACAAGGCTTGTAATTAAAAGGTCAGTGACCTGGAAAGCTGGGGCCTCACTCCCAGGCCTTCTCAGTAATGACGGAGCTATTAAATTAAGACTGTTATGAAATCAATGCTAAAAAAGCTTTCATGGTAACGAGATTCCATTCAAGGACATGCAAACTACCTCATGAAATGGACTTAAATGATAAAAAAGAAAAGTCATAAAGGAGAGTTAAATTGAAATCTGTGTCAGAATTTACTCCTCCTTGAAACACTGCAGGGAGAGAAGCCCTTCACCTCTACCCACCACCAAGGTTGAGCAGGGCAGGTTTCTTCCTCAAGTTCATTTCCAGCAAGGAGGCTGCCATGCGAGTGGGGGGTTCAGCTTCCAGGAACCACAAGCAGATAAGATCTCATTTCACCTCGCAGAGTGAGAGGAAGGTGGTGTGTGTTCCCTTGTCTGGCTTTCTTGTGCCTGGACTACCGGCATTTGTTAGACGAGGGAGAATAAAGCTTTGCCTTACACTGGGGAGGAGCAGAAGTGGCAGGCAGGGCAGGCAGTAAAAGGATCAGCCAAGACCACCCAACCACTCTTTTTTCTAGAAGCTCATCTTTTTCCCTAGGGCCTTCCTTTGCACTTGGTGCACTTCGAGTGAGTTAAGGCGACTCTCCCCTCCCTCCCGGGCATCCTCCCTCCCCGTTCCTCAGCGAGGCATCCCTTTGACCCACCTCACTCACACTCAGCCTGCCAAGCATGTCTGCTAGCCTCCTACATTTTGTGGTTGGGTAGGGTGTCAAATCAACATAAGCCGATTGACAACAATTTCCAAACCTCTAACTTTCTGGCCTGCCTCTATTGCTGGTTTTTTTCCTTCTTTTTTTTTCCTTTCAGTGAATCTGACCTCCTGGACGGCAGCCTGCTTCCAGCCTTAGATCTGATGGCTGCCTGGCAAGAGCCGCCTCTATATATAGACCAGCGCTGCGCGGGCTCAAACCCCACACAGCCCAATTAGCCTCGCGTGTGGTGAGAAGGCACACACACATTTCCTTGTGGACTCTGAAGGTGACCGGCTGCTTTTCTCTTTCCTCCAAAAAACTTCTCGATAAAAGGAAGAAATGATGTAAATTACACAAAATGCAGCACCAACTTCAAAGAACATGATAAACGATTCTAATAACTTCATGTTTCTCATTAATGACTCTACAGACTTTAAAGCCTCCTCCAAAAGAGAGCTCAAAAATAAAAATCACCATGACAGTCTTTGCAAACCAGGCTCTTCCACCCCTATCCCAAGCCCCAGCCCCCGCCCCGAAATGAGGGAGGATAACACTTAACCTGTCAGTAACTGAGGCAGGATGCAGCCTCTGCTCCCGGCTGCAGTTTCTCCACAAAACAAACGCTGCTGATGCACCTAAAGTAGCCCTCATTTTCCACTGAACTGACATGCACTACAGGGACCTCAATTTCTATATTAAATATTAAATAATATTAAAAGAAAAACAAAATTGGATTTGCCTTTTCAGGAAAGAGATGTTTATTAAAAAAAAAAGAAAGAAGAAAGTCAAGATTATAATTCAAGTCGGTGCTCCACTGCAATTCCCTGAAGTGACATTTGCTAGCAAAAGCCAAGACTACAGTAGCTGAGAGCGCTTCCAAAGCCACCCCTGCCGAGAGTCCTGCAGGGAGGCGCGAGATGGGCAGATGACACACACTCGGTCCCTTCCCTCAGCAGCCACCAGTGGATCAGCTCTCTGGCCTTTAGCAACCACTGAGGACTACAGTAGATACTTAGACCTATTGGGGGGGGGGCCCCCTAATAGGTCTAAGTATCCGCACTCCTCTCCCACGCCCCTCCTCCCCACCAGCGATGGTGTCAAGCTCTGTCGATCATGAGAGTCTGACCCAGGGAACCGCCAGAAATTTAAAAAGTGAAGTTTAAATCCACAGAGGGACTCCTCCTCCCCAGACACTGCTCAAACCTTGGAATTCTCTGCCCAGAACTTACCCTACTGGGATTCAACTCGGAAATGGGTAATTACTGACTGGAGCAGCATCTAGAGCAGGCATCCTCAAGCTACCGCCCACGGGCCAAATGTGGCCCGTTGAGGACATTTATCCGGCCCGCCGGATATTTTTGCCCCGTTTGTTTTTTTACTTCAAAATAAGATATGGGCGGTGTGCATAGGAATTTGTTCATAGTTTTTTAAACTATAGTCCGGCCCTCCAACGGGTCTGAGGGACAGTGAACTGGCCCCGTCTAAAAAGTTTGAGGACCCCTGACCTAGAGGAAAATGGAGATGGGTGATTAACTTGGTGATTTCGGGTTTAAATGCCAGGTGAACGCCATTCTTCTCTTTGGAACTTCTCAAGGCTCCTGTGGCCTCAGGTTCCAAAACACTAACCCAACGGGGGTGGGGGTGGTGGGGGGTGGGGGTGTCAAAAGGGACTTGTGAGAGGAGCTCTGCACTGAAGTGCCCATCACAAAAGGGAACTGTGCCCACTCTGCCAAGCAAGACTCATCTCCTTCAGGTCTTTCGATGCCCAGATGTCACCTGCTGTAACGGCCGACTTCACATTGCAGACCTGTCCCAGCCTCTCCCGGCCTGCCTCAGCCGCACGGGCCCTGCTCTCCTTTGTGCCCAGTGAGCAGACTTAGGAGTTCATCTTTCTCATCTGTTCATTGTCGGCTTTTCCCCCACTAGCACTGAAGCGCCTCGAGGACAAGGACTGTGTCTATTTTGTTCTCTGCTAAATCCCACTTGGCTAACACAGGCCCAGCATAGGGCTGGCGCCCACCTTCTCTGAATTCATTTATTGATTAATCCATGGATCTATTTATTTATTTATTTTAAGGAGCAACAAATAATCATTCCACAGAGCAGTTTCTTCTCTAAAAAAGTATTAGCCAAGAAGTGTTATTTGGTCCAGAGTGTCTGTGTGTCTGTCTTGTCTGTCTCTCTCTTTTCTCCCCTCTCCCAGTCAGGGATTTATTAAAATTACACAGATTAGATGGAGCTCCCGATACTAAAACTGCTCAGCAAAGCCTGCGGTGGGGAAGTGCCGAGCAAACACCAGAGACATTTGTCTCTAAATTGCTCTAAATACCTTCTGCAAATGAAATTCTAACCCAGCTGCGTTTGAGAGAAAATGAGGAATAACTGGTCATTGTCAGTAGAAGAGAAGATCAGGCAGTTATATTATTGCACAATATACTGGGGCTAAGGATCTCTCGGCAACCATAGATTTTGTCTCAGGTTACCCCGGGTAATCAGCACAGCTTTTAGGCTCAGCTTTCCCCAGCTTCAATGCTTTGATGAGAGAGCTGAAATCCCTAAGCTTTTATGATTAATTACTCCCCATAGGTACACATATTTCAAGGAAAAACTCTTTTATGGCATGATGCTTGCGGAGTGGAGAGGACGGCCAAGACACTCCAAATTTTAATAATCTCCTAATGAGGGGGGGGGCGGGCGGCAGGAAATAGTGCCGCCAGAGGGCACACAACCCCTCACCAACTCTGCCACAGGGCCGGGCCTAAAGGCCACAACCAAGCCTCTCAACAGCTGCCTGGGATAAGCCAAGTGGACATCTTCTGCAGCCCTGGGACACAGTCAGGGTGCTTCTGTCCAGAGCCTCAGGTGCGAGGGCCAGCATGTACCCCTGAGCCACTTCACCTTCGAATCCAGCCTCAAACCACCAAGAAAGAGCTCCAAGCTGAGAGGCTCAAACTCTAGTTCATGGGGTGGGGTGGGGGTGGGGTCTGTTATAAAGAGGTGGGGGAGACACTCACCCCCTCCTCTCCCCCTGTGATAGAAAAGAGCCTTTAAACCAATTCCTAGATTTCTAGAAAAGTAGATGTTCAAAGAATAACAAGCCAGGATTATTTTATTTCATTTCCACTGTACTTGATTTTAAAAAAACCAAAAACCTAAATTCCAACCGTGCCAGAACAGATTTTGTCTCTTTTAGCAATATTGAATTTGTCAGGACCCATTTTATCCCTACTTACAGAAATGCCATAAAACCAGTCATTTACCACTCAATCTGTAAATCGGACTGACCCCAGGCTTGACCTTAACCTGACCTTGTTCAGTCACCCAGTTTCCCTCGTCCTTCATTTCTTTCTTCTTCATTCGTTACTGAAGCAGCTGACCTCCTAACCAAAACCAGTCATTCTGCAGGCAGGGTCATAAACAGAAGGGACCAGCAAGCAGAAGTCCTCCACAGTCTGGCCCAGAGGGCCACGTGTTCTATCAGACACTGCCCTTGCCGTAATATTCTGAGCTAAGGCCTTGGCTCTATTAGATCTGGTGCCCAATTATCCAAATCTGATGCTCTTTCTGCTCTATTGTATTCCCCTCTTGGGTGTGGGGGGTGCTTGTCCCACCCCTCTCTCAGCACCTGTTTCCACTCTGGCTGCCATGTGCCCTGGCCCCAGCCCTTTCGGCAGGTAGCTGGGGGGTGGGGGTGGGGTAAGAGGGGCGGCAGGGAGCACCCATACCTTTCTTCTTAAGGAATGCTCTCCTGGTCGCAAGAGGGCTCTGGCGGACCCGGGAATTCTGTAGAAACTTTACCGCTGTGGCAATCTGGTAAGGGAAAGGAGAGAGAGAGAAAAGTAAGCCTCCAACAGTCTGAATTTCAAGATTAAAAATCCTCTGAGTTTATCTCAAGCCCAAATAATGAAAGCATACCATTGTGGTCAAACATATGACCTGTGTATTCCTTAAATGTAAAATCCTCCTACATGAAAATTCATGCCATTTCTCTGCCTTCACTGGCTTCTTGTAGGTGAGTCTATCGACTCACAGCCTCCATTCTAGACTGCGACAATTGTGTCCTACCCTCCTCCCTTGTTTGAGCCGGTTCTTCCCTGCTCCAAGCCCCCGCACCTGTGCCCATGCTGGGTGCTCTCACTGGAGGGCTTCCCTGCCCCTGCCCCTGCCCCTGCCCCCCTAGCTAACTCATACAGAGACCAGACCAGCCCTTCAGCAGCCTGTCCTAAGTCCTCAGCACCCGACTTCTTCCGCGCTTTCGGGGTTCCATACTGAAGACATAACCATGCCGTCTTCCACTATTCAGGCTTGCCTCCCCAACTCCCCTGCACGCTAACTGAAGGGAGGAGAGCAGGCCCTCAGCAGAGCTGGCCAAGCGCTGAAGGCAGCCCAGGTAGAAGGGTGATGCACGAGAGAGCCCGCACAGCCCCCCAGGGGCAAACCCAGCAATGGAGTTGGCTTCTCATGAGCTGACAGAGAACAAAGCTTGGGATTCCAGGACTAAACACTGACAGACTGACCAATTAATTACCTACCTATGCTTGGTAAAGAACTTTTTAAAACAGCAATGGATTGTGGTTTGATTGACAGCTTACACCACAAATGAGTTTCCCATTCAAAAAAACGTGTGCACCCTTTGTTTGTTGGGGGAGGGGGGGGTTAATAGTTTTATTTTAAAACATTTTTTTCAAAAGTACATGTTATTTAATGACCTCTTCCTCTCTCACAAACCAGAGCAGCAGGGATGGAAGGTTCTCCCACCACACAAAGCATGTGCGTACAGGGCTACTTGTCTGCTTTCCATCTCAGGCGTTCGTGTGCTGGGAGGGGAACGCCAAGCGGCCCCAGCTAGAAAAGGGGCCGTGGTAGAGGACGGGCATTGTTCGCCTCATCAAAACCAAAAGAATAATACGGTTTCCTGTTACATGTAAAGTCAACAGGCCCTGTAGTTCACTCCCAAGTTGCTGAAAAAAAGAATCTTTAATGAGCCAACTATAAGGAAGTTTTCTACAAGTTTTCAAACTAAGGGCAGTTGCTGGGCATAGATTCAAACAGAAAGGGTTGTGACTATAAACAAAAATACCAGCTACAAATCATCTCTTGCCCATATTTTACATACATCTCATTCTTCCACCAGGCAGGCTTCTCTAGTAGTGGATAAACCAGAGTGGGGGTTAAAGCTGGGATGACTCCTGATATGTTTCTCCACAAAGCCCCCTTCGGAAGGATGAACTCCGCGTGCCCTGGGAGCAGAGCCAGGCTCCCTCCTAGCTCTCATCTGCCCCACGCTGAAAATCCATTATAGCATTCACCACCACCACCAGCTGCGGCTGTCCCAGCCAGGGCCAGGCCCACGTCAAACTGGTGCCTGAAATTCCAGAACGGCAAAACGCTGGCTGACCACCTCACCCCACCCCTGCCCCTTAGCGCCTGGACCAGATCCCCTCCGGTTCTACAGAGATCAAGGAGATTCTAACAAACACCCTCCGTGTGGATGTGTTTTAATAAAAAGATGGGAGAGGGGAAGGAGAGGTACAAAATAGGGGAATAGGTAGAAGGGGGGAAAGGAGAGGAGACACAAAGAGAAGCAGAGGGGAGTAACAGACGGCAGAGTGAAAAAGAGAAAAGAGAGTGGAGTAGTGGGGAAAGGAATGGTGGAGGAGGAGGAGGAGCAAAGCAAAAGGAAGCCTGGCCCTGCCTGGCTTTGGAGGAGAGCAGAGTTACAGAATCACAGGCCCCACAGGTCAGCGCCAATCTGTGTGGCTCAGAGGGTGCAGATAATTGCTTTTCACCTCGAGGAAAAAACACACCTTCGACATACAAGACAATTACAGCCGTCTGTGCACACTCTGATATGTGTACCAGGTGCCAAAGGAAACGTGGATGAGCAGGTCGTGAGCACGGGAGATGCTAATGGCACAGCTCCTACCGCTGACCCAGAGAAACAAACCTTTGCTTCATCCTTCCAAAATTTTCCGTGCCAGAGAAGGAAAACCAAAAGCCCTCCACTAAAACGTGCAGGTTTCACCTTGCTTTTTTAATATAGTCCTTGGTATATGCATTTCTGGTCAGAGAGCAAAGTTCTGATGGGTTTAATGGTGCACTCAATGCAGTGCTTGGCGCATTCCATCAATTTTTTTTTTTAAAAATTGCATCTCTTATTTCTTTAAATACATTAATCAGCCTAGTGTAGGCAAAACGGATCCATCGGACAATGCAATAAACATGAATTATCATCTATCCAACACGCATAATGGCTTAAAAATACATAATAGCAGGTGTAGTTTAAATGATTAGTTATTACACCTGTGGTGGGTCTGATTCAATTGGGAAAAATCATCTTTAATAGGTTAAAAGGTTTAGATCACCATGCTTTCCTTAAAGTGGCTGTAGAGAGGGGATGATGGAGTGCTCTGTCATTAGTAATTCATTTAAGAAAAACGTGGGGGATATAGCAAAGAACAGCATAAACGAGCGAATCCAATTTAAACATCAGGTAAAGTAGAAAACACCTTTTAAAAAAGCAAGATAAATGAATTTGGAAGGGAGATGAAATTGACGTATTTATTTTAACGGGAATTTGACAAAGTCCCGGCACACTTCAAACTTGCAAAAATATGAACAATTTCTTTTAAAGTTTCCATTCACTAATTTCCAGTCATATAAAATGATACTGCCAAACACCTACATAAAGTATATTTGGGGCTTGTTTATGTTCCTCTTGATCTGCGTCTGAAAATGCAGGCGACAGGCAAATCACATACTTAACGGCATCGATATCACTACGCCAGATGCAAAAATATAGAGCACCCAAACGAACAGCCTCAACAGAATGTGCTGAGTAAGAACGCTACCCGGGTGAGCAGCTCCAGGAAAGTGTGGACACAGGAAACCTTTCTCCTCCTTCCACCAATGCTCTCTTCACTCTTCTCCCTCCCCACAAGGACCCGGCAGTACAGAGAGAGAGAAAGAGAGAGAGAGAGAGAGAGAGAGAGAGAGAGAGAGAGAGAGTGTGTGTGTGTGTGTGTGTGTGTGTGTGTGTAGTACAGTGCGTGTGTGGGTAGTACTGTGTGTGTGCGCGTGGGTAGTGCAGTGTGTGTGTGTAGTACAATGTGTGTGTGTGTTGGGGGGGGGGCAGGCGATGACAACGAAGGCCTGTCCAATCTAGAATTTTATAACACTTATGATCACATGAAGGTTAAAGACCTCCCCAAACCTTTTCCCTATAATGCACTGATTTTAACACTTACAGATAAATGAGGGTGTGCTCAGCCTGGGTCTTTTGCTCTGTCACTGGGCAGTTTTCATTCATTTCATGAAGCAATTCAATGGCCTCTTTCCTCTGCAGAGGCCCGACACACACACACCCGCTTTTGTTGGGATTAAATGATGGGGTGCCGAAACCTGTCCTATATTATCATTTGATTTTCTAATTAGAAAATGAATGTGACTATTCATGAGTTATATTTGTGCCCAACTAAATTACATAAATTCAGGCCAAATCTTCCGCCTCAATGTCAAAGATGTAAAACGGAGGCAGGAACTTTATTGCACATGTTGTGGGAGTGCAGCAAGCCGGAGAAAATCCTGGCACAGAGCGCACGACACCCTCCCTTTAAGCCTCTTGCTGTGGAGCGGATGGTAAACGTGGACTTGGCTTCTCTTTCCCCTGCCCTTGCACTGGTAAGAGCACCTAAAGGGGGTGTTTGGATGGTGAGGAGCTAGTTTACAAAACAAGCTGAACCTGGAGGGAAACAGGAGCAAAGTTTCTCACCTCCATTACCCAATGCCGCCCCCCTCCCCCCAGACAAAGCAAAAAGAAACTCCCGCCACCACCAACTCCACCACTTCAAGGAAGTTTGATCATCATTTTCACTGCGTATCCTTTGGAGCTAACATTTAAAGCAGGTGGTGTGTGCAGGGGTACATTCTTATCTGGGCAGTCTTGCCATGAAGGTTAGACTGGAGTAAGTGCCACCAGGTCAGGGGAACGGAGAGCTGCGTGCGTGCTGAAGGGGGAAGGAAAAAGGGCCTTTGGATCCAAGATGATTGGCCAATTGAGAGAGATTTGTGTTTGAGAGAGCAGGATTTGTAACTGTATAAATCAGTGGAACACAGTATACTCGGGGCTTCTCTACGATGAACTATGTGCTGTTAAATGCATTGTGCAGGGTAAGTAATCCCTGGTGAAAGACTCCGGGTTCCTGGCGGTCATCGCAGAAAAGAGGCTTCCTCTGTGTTGGAGGCTCTCCAACAAACGACCTGCCCGTCGGAGCCGTAGACGACGGCACACTTTCTCTCCTGCACAAGGGGTTCCCGTGCCTGCCTGAGAGCAGCCGCAGGGCTGGAGGGAGCCTAACGCTCCCACCTGACATGTAAACCTGATGCACCTCTCCAGTGACGCTTATCTGGAATGCCATCAAGTCCAGCACTTCTGGGTACCACATGCCATCTATCTCCTGGAAGGGGAGCATTCGTTAGCCATGGTTAAATATTTAAAATATTCAAAAATTCATGCCATGAACAACCAAAGCCAAAGCCTTTTTCAGCCACAGCGATCGCAACTAGAGGGCTGAGGAGCCTCTACCGCGCTGAGGAGATGGAGCTGCCTGTGCCAGGTGCCTCTGCTGCGCCCCCGATGTAGAGACAGGGATCCTGTTAGCACGCAGTCGGCCAGAGCCAGCGGGAGCTCTAACAAGGACTGACTTTAAAAGCCCCGCATCACCCAGAGCCAGAGAACCCTCTTCAAACCGAAATGCTGCGTTTTAGTAAGAAATCAGTACTCTGTCAGGAGCTCCTTGACAAATATGGTC